AACGAAATTCTGCAGCAGGTATTTAATAATTATCTTTAAATTAATTTTTAAAATTTTATATTAAATAATTAATAATATTTTTAGATTATATTTTTGATATTGATAGCACATCACTTTCATTTGAATTAATTGAAAAGCTTTGTACATGGCCTACTAACAATGAAATACAAGAATGCACTCGAATAGCATTTAATGAAGCTATATTATTATCAAAATATATTTATATATATAGTCATAAAGAAGAGTCTTCAATTTCAGAATTAACTAAATACGTAAAAACGATAATGGATGATACAGACAGTGAAGATGATGATGAATTAAATAGTAAATATAATTTATTTGTATTATATTATATATTATTATTTATTATAATTAATTAATAATTTAATTATTATATAGAATTATTTAATACTTCTGATAATGAAACTGAATTAAATCGTTCAATTACTGTTGGTAATGCAGCTTTAGAAGTAACACGTATATTATCAAATTCACAAGATAATAATAATCAATTACATGAGGATAAGATTTTAGATGAGAATAAAATTTTAGATAATGAAATTTTAGATAACGATGAAGATATAATACAACAATTACAATCATTTAAAAAATTTCCTGAAATTCAATATATTGTTCAGCATCCACCTGTTCCTGTATCTTTTTGTTCATTTCAACAATTTGTTACAAATGATACTTTAAATTTTAAAACTCTTTTACAAATTTGCCAAAATCATGATGCATTTTCATATGATCTGAAATCTAATTTTAATAATTTGTATCAAACTACAATAGATACTGATAATACCAAAATTAGTGAAAAGGTTGTTAATAAACTTATCACTGAAATTACTACAGATAATATTGATAATAATCAAAAAAAAAAAGTGCTGAGAATGTTGGGAAGGAAGAAAAAGATTAGAAATATTGTCTAAAACTCAATTAGATAAATTTTTTTATTTTATTTTTATAATTATAAAATTATATCATTTATTAAGATTTAATTTTTAAATTTTTAGTAACAAACCTTAGTATAGCAAATATCTCTGAT